AGTTCTGTATTATCCATTTCTTTTCTGTTTACGTCCAATATTTCATATATTTTAGTCAATTTCTTGTAATTTAGATTATATGTTTAGTATATCTTTGTTTCTGTCTTATTCTCCATTATATTCTTCTCTGTCCCTCTTGCTCCAAATCACTGCTCTGATCAAGCTGCTCCTCATTGAGATTCAGTACATGTGTTAAGCATTTCAGGTCAGTCAGGCATGTCCTAAAGCAACTCCGCACTTTCCAGGTATTCTGTATAACATCACACGCTTTATTTAGTTTTCTTGCCGGCTTGAACGCCTGTGTACATTTTGAAGCATTGGCCCTGGTCAAACATTATAAAGCCATCTAGAGGCCTTTGTGCCCTCAGAGTCACACTAACCCTGCAATAAAGTCGACAACGAGCATAATTTATACAGGGAAGGGGCAGGCCTGGATAAAACCCAAAGTACCAAAAATCCCATCTCTTTGCTTCTTGTCTAGATCCCTATACCAAAAAAAGACATAAGAATGAGATTGTTTTGTAGAATCTGACAAATGTCTCATCTCAACATACATGCTGATTAAATGACACAAACCGAAGGTGTGCTGTTGACATCTCTCACTGCTTTCTCTTTAGGCATCTTCGCTATTAGTTGTGCGGTAAGAATAATTAACTATAGAATAGCTGAGGATTTATTTTGCAAATAGCAGTAAGTTACATGACAACCCCAAAGTCTAGAACATTATAAACAAGAGCCAAACACCTATGCTTCTCAAAGACAAAATGCTACACAGCTACATAAAATCAGTAACTTCTAACCTTAGATTTGGCACTGAAAAGTCTAATACTGAAAGACCAAACATTGAAAATTCAAAATTTTGTAAAATACTGTGATTTTTAGCTGCAGCATTTTCTCAATGAGGGATGATTTCAGTGTCACTGCAGTGCTCCTTCAGCTATGAAGACACTTCTAGCTGGTACTGTTATACTTAAGGCTCCTTCAAGGTCCTCAGTTTTTTCGGTAGTCCTCATTATCTACCTGGGGTAAACTAATGGAGGACTCTGGTCAGAGTGCGGCAACTCAACTACAAGTAACGGTATTAATTTTGTTATTATCTTTTAGCTATATCTATATACAGGTGCTGGTCATAAAATTAGAATATCATGAAAAAGTAGATTGATTTCAGTAATTCCATTTAAAAAGTGAAACTTGTATATTATATTCATACATTACATACAAACTCATATATTTCAGATGTTTATTTTGTTTAATTTTGATGATTACAAATGACAACAAATGAAAATCTCAAATTCATCATATCAGAAAATTAGAATATTGTGAAAAGGTTCAAAATTGATGGCCCCTGATGCCACACTCTAATCAGCTAATTAACTCAAACCACCTGCAAAAGCCTTTAAATGGTCTTTCAGTCTAGTTCTATAGGCTACACAATCATGGGGAAGACTGCTGACTTGACAGTTGTCCAAAAGACGACCATCGACACCTTGCACAAGGAGGGCAAGACACAAAAGGTCATCGCTAAAGAGGCTGGCTGTTCACAGAGCTCAGTGTCCAAGCACATTAATAGAGAGGCGAAGGGAAGGAAAAGATGTGGTCGAAAAAAGTGTACAAGCAAGAGAGATAACCGCACCCTGGAGAGGATTGTGAAACAAAACCCATTCAAAAATGTGGGGGAGATTCACAAAGAGTGGACTGCAGCTGGAGTGAGTGCTTCAAGAACCACCACACACAGACGTATGAAAGACATGGGTTTCTGCTGTCGCATTCCTTGTGTCAAGCCACTCTTGAACCACAGACAGCGTCAGAAGCGTCTTGCCTGGGCTAAAGAGAAACAGGACTGGACTGCTGGTGAGTGGTCCAAAGTCATGTTCTCTGATGAAAGTAAATTTTGCATTTCCTTTGGAAATCAAGGTCCCAGAGTCTGGAGGAAAAGAAGAGAGGCACTTCATCCACGTTGCTTGAAGTCCAGTGTAAAGTTTCCACAGTCAGTGATGGTTTGGGGTGCCATGTCATCTGCTGGTGTTGGTCCATTGTGTTTTCTGAGGTCCAGGGTCAACGCAGCCACATACCAGGAAGTTTTAGAGCACTTCATGCTTCCTGCAGCTGACCAACTTTTTGGAGATGCAGATTTCATTTTCCAACAGGACTTGGCACCTGCACACAGTGCCAAAGCTACCAGTACCTGGTTGAAGGACCATGGTATCCCTGTTCTTAATTGGCCAGCAAACTCTCCTGACCTTAACCCCATAGAAAATCTATGGGGTATTGTGAAGAAGAAGATGCAATACACCAGACCCAACAATTCAGAAGAGCTAAAAGCCACTATTAGAGCAACCTGGGCTATCATAACACCTGAGCAGTGCCACAGACTGATCGACTCCATGCCACGCCGCATTGCTGCAGTAATACAGGCCAAAGGAGGCCCAACTAAATACTGAGTGCTGTACATGCTCATACTTTTCATGTTCATACTTTTCAGTTGGCCAACATTTCTATAAATCCTTTGTTTTTATTGGTCTTCAGTAATATTCTAATTTTCTGATATGATGAATTTGAGATTTTCATTTGTTGTCATTTGTAATCATCAAAATTAAACAAAATAAACATCTGAAATATATGAGTTTGTATGTAATGTATGAATATAATATACAAGTTTCACTTTTTAAATGGAATTACTGAAATCAATCTACTTTTTCATGATATTCTAATTTTATGACCAGCAACTGTATAATATATATATAAATTTTTGAACGACAATGGAAGCATGTTAGCTATGGAGCTGGTTCAATGAAGGATCCTGAGGGAGCTTTCTGTAAAGCCCCGCCCTCTGATGCTAAAACATCACCAGCTTTTAGTGACATAAACGCTGAAGGAAATCTGCAGTGACACTAAAATCATCACTCATTACAGAAACTGCTGCAGCTAGAAATGACAGTACCATCTTAAGTTTTCACTGTTTAGAAGGAATTTTGAATTTTCTGTGATTTTTAATGATTCAATGCTTGAATTTTCAATGTCGGTATTTTCAGTGTTTGGTTTTTCAGGATTAGATTTTTCAATTCCTAATGTCAATACAAGCTGTCCCTGATTACCATAAGTAACTGAACATATGGTAGGACAGATGAAGAACAGGGCAGGTGTATGGATGATAGCAAGGACAGACACACTAAAGGATGGACAGATTTAAAGCAACTGATAACGTTTCCCTTTTTTCATGTGACCTGCTTTACTGTACAACACTGGACATTTTCAATTGAAAACATTTTTGGTGATATATCGAAATAAAACCATCTGGGATCCAGCTTGTCCATTAGAGGCACATGCAGGCAAATCTGTCAAATATTCCAAAGTCTCTCTGGATCCTTTGCTTTTATTTGTTAACAGGAAAAAAAGCTGTATTCCATGCAGGCAGAATTGCAGCACAGTGGCTATTCTGTTAAGAATAGATTTCCAACAGAAACTTTAATACTTTGGCTGCTCACCCTAAATCAATATGGGGTACATGGTGTTAACCTAAAGCAAAGATAAAGACTTTGAAGTCAGCTATTCTCAAAAAGTAATCCGTAAATATTCATAAGGTGTCCATAACCCCAATAAAACTCTTAGGACTTATCCAGATACTCTTAACAAGTGTAAGGTCTCAAGGCAAATTAAGTTTGACTTGAAATATTTATGTTTGCAAAAAAGTAAAAATAGAAGAAATCAGCAAAAAAAAGGCAATCTTTTACGGGGCAAAAACATTTTACAGCACGGTATGTGTAATTTTATATTGCTTCAGAAAAAAATATTAAATTGTCATAATTAAATCTAATATTGTAAAAACCTCTTTGTGTAGGGTTCTAAGGAATTTAAACCAATTATGATAAGAAAGCAACTGCAGCTTCCCATTTACTGCCCATCATTTAAATGCTGCGGGAATTTCCGGTACATACTCTCCTAGGGATGGGAATCGAAAACCGGTTCCTGTTAAGAACCGGTTCCGTATTTTTCGATTCCATGGCATCGTTTGGCAGCTCGCTGAACGATTCTTTTTTCGATTCCCGCAGCAACAGAGCCTAGCGCGCCGGCTCTGGGGAGCACGACTTACGTCACGTTTTTTACGTACGTTACGCAGCTTACGCAACTTACGCAAGTTACGCAAGTTGGAAGAACTATTCGAGGAGGAAGACAACGAGCTGCGGTCACTTTGTGAATCAAAGCCCCGTCTTTCCTTAGCCCAGAGGGTAGATCAGGAAATCCAGCTCTATAAAAGCTTGCCCTCCATCCCCTGCAGGGATAGCGCCACACTGTGGTGGTGGAACAAGCAAGATGTGCTGCCCTTGCTATCTGACTGGCTGAAAACTACCTCTGTGTGCAGGCTTCCTCCACCCCATCTGAGAGGGTGTTCTCCACGGCTGGAGACACCATAAGCGCTGAAAGATCCCGTATCCTTCCAGAAAAAGCAGATATGCTCATCTTTCTGCAAAAGAACTGTTAATTTTCCCTACTACTGTTTTATAATTAGTACTTTTTGTTATTTAAAATAGGTTATAATCCCATCATTTGTTATTAGACATTGTTTGTTATTAAGTTTGTTCTTGTATTCATTTTTCATTTAAACACAGATGTTACTCCAGTTTCACATTTCCTGTGGCCATCTTGATCTTGTTGATTTTGTAAGATTGTGCAATAGTTAAGTAAACAAAGTTGATTCTGATAATCAAACTGTTTGTTCTCCTTTTTCCCCCAAATTGGAATCGAAAAAAGAATCGATAAAGAATCGAATCGTTTCATAGAATCGAAAAGGGAATCGGAATCGTGAAAATCTTTTCAATTCCCAACCCTATACTCTCCTGTGAATACTTGACCTCAGGCAGCTGGTGGTCCGTAGAGGGACCCCCTACGCATGAAAGAGAAAAACTAACAAAACTCTTTGGGGCTTGTAGAATCAGACACATGCAGTGTGTTTCTGCCCTAACAAGCATCTTGTAATTCTTAAGAAGAAGCCAAATATTAACCTTTGGGATGGCCAATCTGTCTCCTTTTTCTGTTCCGTCCTCTGAGTCGGAGCAGACGTGGGGATCTGTCAGGATGCGAGGTCGATGGAGCGGCTGGATGTTGATCTGGGTGCTGAGGAGATTGCTGACAGCTTTCAGAGAGCTGCAGGTGTTCGGGGGCAGGGAGGGGTCTGCCAGCAGATCTGAGATCAAACCGTGGGCCTCTCCCATTACCGCAATGTCCACCACCACACTAGTGCCAGAAGACTGGAAGGAGAGAAAAACAAGATAAGAGTTACAAAAGCTAATTTAGTTGAGACAAAGATTTTGTTCTTTGAAAAAAACAAGAAATGAGTTTATTAGCAAACTTTTAAAGGGGTCATAGAATGAGTATATAGGGTATTTGGTTCTGGTCCTTTAGGTCACTGAATAGGGTGTGTAACATTGATTGGGCTGAAAATGGCATGTTTGCTGTTATGAGCCCTAATGCAAGCCTGGTTAAAAGCCCCAGAATGAAACAACAGGTTTTCTTCCTTTTATGTTATGCTCATGAATATTTAGATGAGCTGTGCGCTGATTGGTTGGTTTGCAATGAGCGAAGCTGCTGAGCAAAGGCGCATCATAGCAACAAGCACTTATTCACTGAAACATTGATTGTTGATATGGCAGGGTGACCAGATGTCCCTTTTTTCCCAGACATGTCCTACTTTTCATACCTAAAAAAATGTCCAGGTGGAATTTCAAAATTGTCCAGGGTTTTGGTCGACTACAGTGCAAGCATCTCACATAGTCTAAAATCTGGGATAATTAATCTAACTCGCCGGCATCCATGAACAACTATCTATATCAAGGAGACTCCCGGGAGACTCTGTTACCAGCCGCCAGCCCCCCTCCTCCGACTCTCTGCTGAGGCCCAGCAGTCGACACTTCATACCCCCCGCCAATGAACCAGTGGGCTGGTCTGTAAAAGTACAGGCCACAACCAAAGAAGGTAACATCCCCAAGTAACTCTAACTGACTACTTTAAAACATAGCACCTTCTGCTGCACTTTTCTACTGAGCACTTGTCAGTTTCACACGGTTTTATTTCTGATAGCAAGGAGTAGCTAGCCTAGGCTAGCGCTAGCTTAGCATTGCTATGGCTTCTCTCTCTCCCTCCCTTGACTCTTTTCCAACTCTTCCTTCTTCCTCTCCTCTCTGCTGCTCTCTGTGTCAGATGTTCAGTTATTCCTCTGCCTCCTTTAGTGATAATGGGATGTGTAATAAGTGTAGTATTTTTGTAGCTTTGGAGGCGAGGGTGTCAGAGTTAGAATCCAGGCTTCAGGCTGTTGAACATCCAGGAGTTTAAGTAGGCCCCCCACGTAGCTGTCCTCCAAAAGTGCCTGAGCAGCCAGGCGATTGGGTAACTGTACGCAGAAAGCGTAGTCGTGGATCTCTGCCCACTGGTCACCACCAACCCGTTCACGTTTCTAACCGGTTTTCCCCACTCAGTGACACACCCACTGAGAAGCCCACTCTGGTGATTGGCAGCTCCATAGTCAGAAACGTGGCATTAGAGACACCAGGGACCATAGTCAAATGTTTGCCGGGGGCCAGAACGGGCGACATCAAATCCTACCTGAAACTACTGGCTAAGGATAAGGTTAAATACAGTAAGATTGTTATTCACGCTGGTGGTAATGACACCCGGTTACGCCGATCGGAGGTCACTAAAATTAGTGTTGCTTCGGTGTGTAAGTTTGCCAAAAAAATGTCGGACTCCGTAATTTTCTCTGGTCCCCTCCCTGATCTGACCAGTGATGACATGTTTAGCCGCATGTCGTCATTCAACCGCTGGTTGTCTAGGTGGTGCCCTGAAAACAACGTGGGCTACATTAATAATTGGCAATCCTTTTGGGGAAAGCCTGGTCTGATTCGGAGAGACGGCATCCATCCCACTTTGGATGGTGCAGCTCTTCTTTCTAGGAATCTGGCCACATTTATTAGTCCTCCAAAACCCTGACCACCCAGGGTGCAGACCAGGAAGCAGAGTTGTAGTTTAACACACATCTCTGCAGCTTCTCTACTGTTACCCACTCTTTACTCCATCCAGACAGTGTCTTGCCCACGACCAAAATCTAATAAATTAGCAAAGATTCCCAAAGGAGTAAATCATGATAATCTAATTAAAATCAAAATAACTCCAATTGGGGAAAAAGTTAAAACAATTAAATGCGGTCTGTTTAACATAAGATCGCTTTCCTCTAAAAGTCTACTAGTTAATGACTTGATTTGTGATAATCACATTGACTTGTTTTGCCTTACAGAAACCTGGCTGCAGCAAGAGGATTATGTGAGCATAAATGAGGCAACTCCTTCAAGCTATTTAAATTTTCACATCCCCAGAAGTTCTGGGCGAGGAGGAGGAGTAGCAACAATCTTCCAATCTGACTTACTGATTACTCCCAAAACAATTAATACCTACAACTCTTTTGAACATTTAACCCTTAATATCCCTGATCCAAATTTCAAGGCAAGAAAACCTCTTCTTTTTGTAACTTTGTATCGTCCACCAGGTCCTTACTCTGAATTGTTAGATGAGTTTTCAGAGTTCCTTTCTGATTTGGTATTAAATACTGACAGGGTCATCATAGTGGGAGATTTTAACATCCATGCTGACATTGAAGGCGATAGCTTAAGAGCAGCCTTTAATGCTATCTTAGACACTATTGGCTTTGTTCAAAATGTGAATAGTCCCACGCATTCTCATCTTCATACTTTGGATCTTGTGCTGACATACGGCATAGAATGTGAAGAAATAACAGTATTTCCTCACAACCCTGTCCTCTCTGACCACTTTCTAATAACCTTCAGGATTACTTTAACAGAGTTCTCCTCCCCCAAAAGAAGGTTTAATTTTAGTAGATCTTTATCAGATAGTGCAGTTATAAATTTTAAAGAATCTGCTTCACTTTCTCTCTCCTCTGTGTCACTGAGCAGTGCTGCAGAGTGCAAAAGCTTAGCTTATTCCCCTTCACAGGTTGATGATTTTGTTGATGGGGTTGCTAGTTCTCTGCGTATTGCCTTAGACAACGTAGCTCCTTTGAAAATGAAAACCGTTAAAAATAGAAAGCTTGCTCCTTGGTTTAATGCAGAGCTGCATACTTTGAAGCAAAATGCTAGGAAACTGGAGAGAAAATATCGCTCCACAGGCCTGCGAGAGTCCTTCCTAGTCTGGAAAAATGGTTTACTGCTGTATAAGAGGACCCTTTGTAAAGCAAGAGCAGCATACTTCTCCTCATTAATAGAGGAGAATAAGAATAATCCTAGATTTCTTTTTAATACAGTTGCCAAACTCACCCAGAGCCATAGCTCTGTTGAACCGTCCATTCCACCTGCTCTTAGCAGCAATGATTTTATGGGATTCTTTATAAATAAGATTGATCTTATTAAAAATAAGATCATAAGCACTCCTCTATCCGCGATTGTACCTGAGGTAGTCATGGAATCTGAACCGGGTTTAGACTGCTTTGATCCAGTTGAACTCTCTGAATTAGCAAAATTATTGTCTTCATCTAAGCCTTCAACTTGTATGTTAGATCCAGTTCCAACCAGGTTATTTAAGGAGGTATTCCCTTTGATCTCCTCCTCCATTTAAGATGTGATTAATCTATCTCTGTTACAGGGATATGTACCTAAAGCTTTTAAGGTTGCTGTAATTAAACCTCTGCTTAAGAAACCGTCTCTTGACCCAGATGACTTGGTCAATTATAGACCTATATCCAATCTTCCTTTCTTATCCAAAATTCTTGAAAAAGTAGTTGCCAAACAAGTTTGCGATCACTTCCACCATAATGAACTTTTTGAAGAGTTTCAGTCTGGCTTTAGAGCTCATCATAGCACTGAAACAGCTCTGGTGAAAGTCACTAATGATATTCTCATGGCCTCAGATAATGGACTTGTATCTCTGCTCGTCCTGTTGGATCTTAGTGCTGCATTTGATACAGTTGACCATAATATTCTTTTAGAAAGACTTGAATATTTTGTTGGAATTAAAGGAACAGCACTAGACTGGTTTAAATCTTATCTATCTGATCGAATTCAGTTTGTTCATGTTAATGATAGATCTTCCACATGCTCAAAGGTTACCTGTGGAGTACCACAGGGATCAGTGCTAGGACCAATTCTCTTTACTTTATACATGCTCCCAATTGGTAGAATTATTAGACAGCATGGGATTAATTTCCACTGTTATGCTGATGATACCCAGCTATATCTGTCTATAAATCCAGATGAAGCTAACCCATTACATAGATTACAGGCATGTCTTGAAGACATAAAAACCTGGATGACTCTTAACTTTCTGCTTCTGAATGCAGACAAAACAGAAGTTATAGTCTTTGGACCAGAGTCTCTGAAAAAGAAACTGATTAGCCAGTCACTTCATTTGGATGGGATTAAACTGATTTCAGATAATAAAGTAAAAAATCTTGGTGTTATTTTTGATCAGGACCTGTCATTTAAATCCCATATCAAAGAGGTTTCCAGAATTTCCTTCTTTCATCTGAGGAACATTGCAAAAATTAGAAATATCCTGTCCAGGGGTGATGCTGAGAAACTAGTCCATGCATTTGTTACTTCAAGGCTGGACTATTGTAATTCTTTACTATCAGGAAGTCCACAAACTGTAGTTAAAAGCCTTCAGCTGATCCAAAATGCTGCAGCCAGAGTTCTAATGAAAATTAAAAAGAGAGATCATATCTCGCCTATCCTGGCTTCTCTTCATTGGCTTCCTGTTAAATCAAGAATAGAATTTAAAATCCTCCTTCTCACATATAAAGCCTTAAATGGCCAAGCTCCATCTTATATCAGAGATCTGATTGTTCCTTATGTTCCTAACAGAGCACTTCGCTCTCAATCTGCAGGTTTACTAGTGGTTCCTAGAATTTCTAAAAGTAGAATGGGAGGCAGATCTTTTAGTTATCAGGCTCCTCTCCTGTGGAACCAACTACCTGTTTTAGTCCGTGAGGCAGACACCCTGTCTACTTTTAAGGCTAGGCTTAAAACTTTCCTTTTTGATAAAGCTTATAGTTAGGGTGGCTCAGGTTATCCTGAGCTATCTCTATAGTTATGCTGCTATAGGCTTAGACTTTTGGAGGACATAGGGACCCCCATTTCATCATTCTGCTTCATTCTCTCTCTGTTCTCCTATTCTGCAGAATCTGTTAGTTCAATCTCTAACCTTCTGCTCTCTCTGCTTTTCCTCAGAGTAGCTTTGCCTCGTCTGTTCCTGTTTGGCTGTGACGTCATCCTGGAAAGAAACATCAGCTGTGCTGCTTCCATCAACACCCTTGTTTATAGATGTTGGAGATCGGCCTGTTTTCCAGTGTGGTCCTGTTTCTCTGACCGTGACTGAGTGGATGTGCTCTCTTCGTCCTCTGGCATGGGAGCTGCCTTGGAGCTCGTCTGCCTGGCTGTGTGTTTCCTGGACGGGGCCGCCTTTTACAGCTGCTTTTTGTATCTCTGCTTCTGTCTCCTTGAACCCCAGTCGGCCTCGGCAGATGGCCGCTCACACTAAGCCTGGTTCTGCTGGAGGTTTCTTCCTGTTAAAAGGGAGTTTTTCCTCTCCACTGTCGCTACAAGCATGCTTAGTGTGGGGGATTGTATTTGAGTCAATGAGTCAATGCAATCAACTGGTTTTCCTTAGATAGAAAACTTTGTATTAATTTGACTGTATGATCTGGTTGAACTGTAAAGGGCCTTGAGATGACATGTGTTGTGAATTTGGCGCTATATAAATAAACTGAATTGAATTGAATCCCCGAATTGACATAAATTTGGTGCTTGGTTTCAATTTGCCTGTTTTATGGTGGAAGTTTAGAATTGTGAGATTTGCAGAGAAAGGAGGTGTTGATGGGATTTGAACTTCTCTGTACATCCATTTCACCCACTG